GCATCGTCAACATAGACTACGGCAATGCAGAAATTGCCATCTTTGTTGTAGACGAATATACCAGCGTCTGACACAAGGCGTTTAAAGCCTAGGTCGGCCATGGACCGGTCGAGGGCTTTCCACCAAGCTAACCCTGCCTGTTTAAGTCCGTAGAGCGCGCGGCGAAGCTGGAAAACCATGTTTTCGCGCCCTGGCTCTTTAAAGCCTTCAGGTTGCTCCATATATATTTCTTCGTCGAGATTGCCATATAAATAGGCATTTCGCACATCAACGGCATGAATTTGCCAGTTTTCAAGTGCGCATAGTGCAAACATCATTCGCACTGTCTCAAAACGAACTACAGGTGAGAAGACTTCATTGAAGTCGATTCCTTCAACCTGGGAGAAACCTTTGGCTACAAGCCTGGCCTTTTTTCGACCATCAGATTTGATGTCGAAGACCCATCGGTTTTTAATGACCTTTCGGTCTCGCGGGCGATCAACCAGGTCATAGACCTTGCGCTTCCGGAGAGCTTCAAGCTCATCACGGCATGCAGCACGCCATTCCTTTTGCTCAGCAGGTTTAAGCCGCTGAATATCGCGATATGTCCATTCTTTTACATTGGACTGGTTGGGATTTCCGCCGAATAGTGGATATGCGCGCAAAAGCAACGCTTCGACGAACTGTACTCCCCCCTCCTGGCATAATTTTGCTAACCGAGCATCTCCTTCAGAATCAGATTCCGAGGATGGGGCTTTACTGGCGCTTTCGCGATAGCCAGTGAATGGTGTTTCTGGTGCAGACGGGTCGTCGCTTTTTCTCGGAGTCTGAGGTGGCAAACTAGGCACAGGAGCCGGTTCGTCCTCTGGAGGCGATAATTCGCTCTCTATTATTTGCTTCCGAGAGACCTTGTGTGACGCTTTGCCTTTGCCTGGTGAGGATCCACCCTCTACTAAGTCTTTCCAGGCGCGTTCACGCTCAATCTGCTTGTATTGGGAAACAGGATGTTTCCTTTCACCGTATATATTGCCCTCTCGCTTCGGTACTTTCCTGAGACGACCGGATCTCCTTGGAGATTGCCATGGTTGTTCAGGCGGTACTGGGCTAGGAGTCCTTGACCGCTCTCTTTTGGGCGTCGAAGGAAGCTCAGGTGCCACGTCTGGCGCCTTGCCTTTCCCCTTTTCAGGAGTTGTAGTGGGAACAGGAGCCGACGGAATTTCGTCATCGTCGTCCCAAGGAATGGGTGGTTGACCCAATGGGTGGTTGGTGTCTTTGGATCGCGGACCTCCAATACGCGTATTTTTCGTTTGTTTTTGCTTCGCACACTTAGGGAACAGAGTCTCGTCAAACAACGCATGGGCAGATGTGAATATCACATTGTTGGGTAGGCGCATGAACTTGAAGTTCGTTTCCATACCATCCGCAACACCGATATATATCATAAGTTCAGACTTAGGTGACATCTTGTTCTTTCGAACGTTGGCGGGGAGGTGAACATATGCACCACATCCAAACACTCGCAAGTGATCGACTCGCGGTGGTCTACCATACAGAAACTCATATGGCGTTTTCCAGTTTAGGCGCACAATCGGAGTTCTGTTATATACATGCGTTGCATGCTCGACAGCAAAATTCCACCAGGATTCAGGCAAGCAAGCGTCAAAGCGCATCGACTCAGCCTTATCCATGAAAGTGCGCGTATACCGCTCAGCACGACCATTCTGCTGTGGCGTGTGGGGTGCGCTCTGAAGAACTTTAATGC